ATAAAGAAACCATCAATTTATATTTAAAAATAGGTTAATGTTCTCAGGAAAAAGGTCAAGAAATCAGATTTTAATTGTAGTATTTGTATAAATGAACTAAGTTGATTAATAATAACTTATTTGTAAATAATTATAAACACATTTTACTTCCTCTTACCTTGTATACTTTATTGAAAAATGGTACAAACTCAACACAGTTGTACAAAACAGCTTTTCGTAGCTTTGGAAGAGACGCACCTCTGACTCCACTTATCTGAATGCCATCAGAATAAATCAAGCCAGTTGATGAATTGAAATTGATCTTTGTATCTGGAATATTAAAAGAAATTAGAACGTACTGAAGATGAGTACATGATTAATGTACCTTCTGAACTAGGCATCTGAGGAATGGACACTGCAAGACGCTGGATATGGCTGGGAACCATAATATCTTGTTTACGTTCCCCGGCGTGAAAGAAGAACTGTTGCAACATTAAATCGAAAAATATCGCCCAATTATCACACCATTTAACATCAGCAACAGAACCTTAAAACGAAACAAATATTAAGAAAAACAGCGTCAGTATCGTTATGACTATTAGCCAAATAACCTTCTTTCGTAATAGTTAATGACTTAATGGATTTGTACACCCCAGAATACTGGCAACCCCTGTGATAATATTCCTGATAAAAGTCTTTAGAACTTAGCTGATAAGCTTCCTCGCCAATTTCAAGCGATGGTAGTTCTAATAAAACATTGCTTCCTGTCTCTGGGGTTTTGATGACTCCGGAAATTATGATTTCATCTTCACTTATGACTTCAAATTCGCCACTGCCCTTCTGTACCATAGCGGACAAGGGTACGTGCCCTAGAATTTTCAAACTACAACAGGAAACAATAGGTAACTAAATGCGAATATACCGATTGCCGAAGTGCTAAGGACTTTTTTAAAATGAAGATTTTCAAATACAAAATCTTCACATGTGTGGAATTCGTCAGTCAACATTTTGTAGACTATCATCTAGAAAATTGAAATGTTTTGGAAAAGAACAGAACCATTTTTTATCTTTCGAAGGACTTACCAAGTACAAAGAAGGTGGTAGAATTGCCCTACATCCCAGTGTGTTCCCAATATACTCCTGAAATTCTTCGGTGTTGAGAGACACTTGGATGTTTTTTACACTGACTAGATAGTTCGATTTATCTTCGATTAGAAGTCTCCATTCTTCACTGTGTTCCCAGTGTACAATGGACGTCAAAGAGGGAGTTCCCCTTCTAACTGGATACTCAACTTTCGGATATAACGCAGAAACTCTCATATTATCAACTCCACTTATGTACATCCTAAAAAATTGTTGAGAATGAAGCACTGACGATCATACGACCATTATTTAAAAGCAAGAAAATATATCATTTCAAACGATTGTAGTGGTGAAGAACATAAAACTGATAAGAGACGATGTATACAGTACCTTCCAAGAGCTGACAATAAAAATTCAACGTTGCTTCTGTTTCCTCTTTGAGTCAAAGCAATATTCGTACATTGTGGTGGCAAAGAGCGTTTGAGAATAGCTTGTAGAAGTCCATGGGGAGCTATTTCTATGACAATGGCGTCTTTTGGAATATGTTTTGATGCTTCCTCAAATAAAACTGAACTAAGTAAATTGTTTGTGTGATACTCAGCTGAAGAAGTTTTCGCTAAATCACAATCCCATCTGTCTTCAGGTACAGACGTACTGATCCATTTTGAAGATCGTGGGGATGCAATTGGAATGATCTCTTTGAGATACTTCAATAGAAATGGAGCGGCAGGTTTTATGTATCTACTGTGATAAGCGATGTTGGCAACATTAACCAGCCTGGCAAAGACACCCCTTTCTTTCAATTGTGCCACGAAATCTTCCATGTCCTTTGTTGGTCCTGATATGGTGCAACTTTCAGGACCATTGTGACATGCCACCTCTACTGTTGGTGGACACTGGCTCTTGATTTGCTGATACCCAATTCCTATAGAAATATTCATGAACTTAATCATTTTCAAATCTTCTTCCATGTCGTAATTAATTAGGTGATTTGGAATAGGAAATAATTTGAGATATAAAAAAGTCCTAGGGATTATAATTTTAAAGAAGATTATTTATAAAATTTCATCTTGATTCGGTGAATAGGCATTTTGGATCATAGATTGTCCAATGTTCGACCATTCCCCAATTAATACTAACCCACTGCAGCCATCATCCCTTGAATGAGTTCGGCTTCTAGGGACGCTCTTCCTCTTGCATAAGCTGCGAGGATCATCTGTTCTGCTGTCAAACACCCATCAGCATAGGCGCATCCCAATTCACCCACCGAATGCCCAATTATACCATCTGGAACCACCCCCACAGTGTGTAGTACATCTGTTAAAGCAATCTGCAAACACTAACTCAAGACTGCATCAAGACACATTGATTACCATTGAAGAAACTGTCACTCTAACCTTAATCAATTTTGTAAATACTTACAAGCCCATTGTA